CATGAATTCACAAATTTACGCATTCAATACACCATGCGTTAAATTATTACAAAAAACGAGATTATACAAGCCTTACCCATGTGAGGACAGTAGATTTTTGTCAACCAGGAATTGAACAAAAAGTTGGCATGGTTGCAAATGTCTCGCTTTAATATAAGAAAATTGGCGACCGAAATTACGAATTTACCTCCTGCTTTAAGCAAATTGAAAGGGGGGTGTGAATAATTTTTTTCTTCACTTCAGTATTTAAGGTCAGTCGTGTTCACCACAGGGTTGCCAGTTTGGCATTAAAAGAGCCAAATTTCTTGATTTTGGCTTCTTTTGATTTCGTTTGGCTACTAAAAATTTTGTTTGGCTTCTTTCTATTTTTTGGCTCTTTTTGGCTTCTTTTTGAATAAATACTGAAATAAGCAACTTTTCAAAAATAGTCTGCCATCCATCAGTAAAAATTAGTTCTAAACTCTGCCTCGAACTCTGCTATGTTCGATCATATTATCCAGAATTTCGTATTTTCGGATGTACGTAAATATCCAATCTTGTTCCCCGAGCCTGCGATCCTCGGGAAGCAACGCGAAGCTCTGGGATAATCCGTTTCAGGGAGAAATCTGATTGGCCGTTGAAATGGAATGCGTAGACAGCGTAGTTCAATCTTAGCCAGAATTCCTGGCTTCCGGCAGTGGATTATCCCAGAGCCTCGCGTTCCTTCCCGAGGATCGCGGGAAAACGAAAATTACTCGTTTTTTCTTTACTGTTTCTGTAGATTGTAGTTATACCGGTTTCTCGATAACCTTTCGCTGATGATTTACCTTGATAACTTAGTTATCATAACTAAATAAAGTTTGAGTTGGAATTCTTAGTCATTATGTAAAATATAAATGTATTAGCGATTGTTTTTATGGGTATATAATTTGTATAATTAGGTTAGCCCCAGTCCCCACTCTAAATTTCGATTTTGGCTTCTTTTGGCCGGATTTGGCTACTTTTTACATATCATTTGGCTCTTTCGGGCTCAGACCACCTGGCAACCCTGGTTCACCATAAATTTAGGTCGATTGTGACGTCAAAATGACGTAAATTTGGAAAAAATCCGCCATGTTTTTGGTCACACATTTTTGACTGACAGGGTATTTGGAGCACGATCTCCAGATATATTAAGTAGAGCTCAGTGGTGCTGCATGGAAATGTGACTGTGCTGCAAAGAAACACACTGTGCTGTATGGAAACGAGACTGCTGCATGGAAAATTGATGGTGTCATGTTTTAACAACAACAACAAAACAAATTTATTTATGATCGTAATATAGTAAATACAAATTATCATTGCTGCAAATAGCAAAGGCTAATTGAGGCAGGCAATGAATCGATAATTAATTGAAATTATAATATTGAAATTATAATGAACTATAAAAAAGTTGATGATCACTCCCCCTCAGTGCCAATTATCCGTACATTAAAAGTATGTTTAGTTAATATGCTCTCTGGATCGATTAAAAAAAATAGAAAACTAAAAAATGCAAACACAACATATAGTACACACTAATTTCCTTACTCTAGGCATTTATCTGTTACCTTTAATAGGTCTGTTTGGTTGATAAAATCATCTTCCTTTGATAATATGTAAAGCTATTTCCGATGTAAGATTTTAGCAAAATTTTTCTTTGTTAAGTCACGTAGTTCAGTAGGCAAAGTATTCATATCCTAGGGCCCACACCTAGGAATGAGTTCTTTTGTTTTTGTAATTTAGTATGTTTAATAAAGTAATTGTCTTTTAAAGAAGATCTGGTGTTATGTTTATGAATGATGTTAGAATAAATAAATTGATTGGAGATATTTGGCGGTGTAATATTATTTGAGACATCATGCATCAAAATTGATGTCGCTTTAAAACAAAGCGTATTGATAGGTAATATATTTGATGAGCAGAAGAAAGGTATTGTATGAGAAAAATATTGTCCAAAGTAAATCAGAAGTAAGGCACGTTTTTGTAGTTTTAGCAATTTATCAAGATGGGTTTGAGCAGCATGACCCCATACTACAATGCCATATGACATATGGGGTAGTATGAGTGATCGGTAAATATTTAATAAGGTATGTGTTGGTACAAAATGTCTCAGCTAGCTAGCTAGTTTAGCAATAACACCAATCAACTGGCTGATTTTTGCCACGATATGATTAATATGATCCTTCCATGGTAAATTACTATCAATAAGTATACCCAAATACCGGACACAACTTTTTTGTTCTAAAAAAGCATATGTATTGGTACTCGTATCAAGCATTTTTAAATCTACTTGGTAATTAGGTTTTTTCTGGTAAGGGTGAAAAATAACATAATTTGATTTTTTAATATTTAAAAACAACTTATTTGCTGCCAACCAGTTGCATATTTTAGAAAGTTCAATGTTGACAATATTTTCTAATGACTTAAGATTTTTATCTGTGTAGAGTAAATTAGTATCGTCAGCAAAGAGATAAAATGTTAACTTGTTAGATAATTTATATATATTGTTCACATAAATAAGAAATAACAAAAGTCCTAAGACCGATCCCTGTGGAACACCTGTTAGCATTTGATCGTTGTTAGATATACCAGAGCCAATTTGTGTAGTTTGGATCCAATCTAATAGGTATGTAGAAAACCAGTCATTTATAATTCCATATACCCCATAATGCTCTAGTTTTCTCAAAAGGATCAAGTGATCGACCATATCGAAAGCTTTTTGCAAATCAATAAAGATTCCGCAGGAATACATTTTATTATTCATGTTTGTATGAATTTGATTAACAGTGTCTAAGATTGCATGTTGAGAACTGTTGTGTTTCTCACGAAATCCGTATCGAGATTGATACAGAACATTTTGCTTCTCAAGGAAGTATTTCAGATGGTCATAAATCATTTTTTCGAAGATTCTATTGAAAACCGAGAGAAGAGATATTGGCCTGTAATTGGTAGGATCAGTTTCATCACCTTTTTTATATATAGGAATAATTTTAGCATGTTTTAACTTAGAAGGATATATGCCGTTTTCTACTGATTTGTTTATTAGATCTGATAAAGGTTTTGACAACATGTATCTGGCGAGTTTCAAAATGTATAAAGGACAAGAATACAGCCCATATGACTTTTCTGTTGGGATTAACTTAATTTCGAGCTCTATTTCACTAGGAGATACAGGATTAAAGGAAAAAGAGCTTGAAATATTTACATTTGGGAGATATTCGACAAAAGAGGCTTGCGAGTTTGGTATTTGTGATGCTAATTTATGTCCCACTGATGAGAAGTACTTGTTAAAAATGTCCGGAAATTCTGAAATATTATGGGTTATTCTGTTACTATGAGGATATTTGAGGGAGGTAATTTGCTTACTTGTCTTTTTATTATGATTAATAAGATCGTTTATACCTTTCCATGTTTGTTTTATATTCGTGTAATTTTGTTCAAAATATTTATGATAATATTCTTTTTTGCTAAGGCGGGTAAGATAAGATATTTTGTTTCTGTATAATCTATATCTGTCTTTATCACCACAGTAAAAAAGCGTGTTTTTTATTTTAATAGACAACTTGCATGTTAGACATATTTTTGATCTAGCCGATCTAGGCAAAAAAAAAGTAAATTCCTGTTAAGAACGTATTAAGATTAGTAAACTTGCAAAATTTGGTTGCGAAATGTTGTAAAGCTTGGAAAATATAGCCTTGCAAAGTTTGCATATTTTCAGTATATTTGTATTACGTGCGGAAATTGTTACCATTTTTGAGCCGAAAAT